ACTTGGCCTTGTTGAACCTCAGACAATTGGCCTTGACCCAGTGATCTAGCCTGTCCAGATCCCTCTGTAGAGTCTTCCTACCCTCCAGCAGATCAACACTCCCACCCAACTTGGTGTCATCTGCAAGGTGACTGAGGGTGCACTCGATCCCCTCGTCTGGATCGTTGATAAAGATTTTAAACAGAACTGGCCCCAGTGCTGAGCCCTGGGGAACACCCCTTGTGACTGGCTGCCAACTGGATGTAACTCCATTCACCACCACTCTTTGGGCCTGGCCATCCAGACAGTTTTTTACCCGGTGAAGAGTACGCCCGTCCAAGCCATGAGCAGCCATTTCCTCAGGAGAATGCTGTGGGAAATGGTGTCAGAAGCTTTACTAAAGTCTAGGTAGACAGCATCCACAATATACTGCTTTGAGCCTGAGTTTTCGTATTAAGTATTTTTATTTTGAAAATAAATGCAAATTAAATGCAAAAATCTTTTCGTGAATCTGTAGATACTACGGCTTAAAAACTGGAAAGGTCTGGACACGTTTTGCTCATTCTGCGATCTTCTCCCCTATCCTTCAGTGCAGGATGAGCGAAAGAGAAAAGTTTTCCAGCATTTCCAAAAGGCAAAGATGACTTCTCCATTCAGGACTTGGTTCATAAGAGAGAAAATCATGCTTTGCTGTCAGCCTTGACAGTGGGATAAAATAAGATGAAGGGACTTTCACTGAAAGGCTAAGATGCCAGAGCTGAAGTTGAAGAGTCAGGCTAAAAAGGAAGGCTAGACAAAGAAAGGGTATTTGAAATGAGAATGTGTGATACTATTTTGTCAAACAAAATACCCCTTGGAAGCACTCCTATTTTCCAGAGTGCTCTCCATTCAAGTCTGTGCCTTCCACATGGTGTTCCCAGGCTCTGCACCTTCTCAGGTACATACCCAGCCTCAGCTTGGCTTACTGGTACATGAGGAAGGAGAGGGAGAAAGAGAGTTGCTGCCCAGCCAGCCAATTCACTACTACTGTGTGTACACAGGGTGTTCTAGTTGTTTACCCTTATTCACTGGCTGAAAATAAATACCAGTCTTTGGCATGTTAAATAGTAAAATAGGTCCTGTCCTTTTTAAAGTTTTAAAAAATAAAAATGCCTACTTTGATGTTTATTTATACTATGATCTCTGTGACAAAATTGATTTCTTTGAAATACAAATTAAATTTTATATTGAAAAACAGTTGCTTTTCAGGTTGGAACTGTAAAAATAGTCATATAGTGGAAACTGAATGGGAAGACCGTTTATTTTGTGTCTGATTGACCTTTCTGTTGTAATTCTTCATCCTGTATTTTAGCTTTACTTGTCTGTTACACAAATCTGAGCTCATTGTAGATTAGTTGTGTGCAGCTGCATTGTAAATGGACTGAAGTGTGCTCAGATTTTAATCTTAGTCAGCAAAGTCTATATATGGGATATGTGCTGCATGAGCTTCAGCAGCTTTACAGAACATTTGCTTCCTTCTTACTGCTTCTAGAGGATTTTTCTAGAGTTTTCCCAATTTTCTTATTAATTTTGCTTAACTGATCTTCCTGGAAAACCTGGATATCCTGCAATATTTGGAAATCCCACAGTGGTACATCATAGAACTGTCTTTGCCAGAAGGATTTGGTTAATGTCACAGTAGAGTGACACTTGAAGCTGAGCTGACCCTTGCGTTTGGGTAGGAAACACAGCTGACTTAGCACTCAGAACATTTGCATGCAACATTGCTGTATGTGGTTTCTTTGTTTCCCTAGAAACAAAAAGTACCCTGAGGTATCAGTCAGATAGGAGATAGCATATTACTGTAGCAAAACAACAGATTAAATTTCTGGGTTACAAAGCTGAAAATGTAGTTAGAGACTAAAAGCATAAATAATAAGGAAATACAAATATGAAATGCACCATCATGTATCTGTGGTACTTCTCACTGGGAGATAGTTTGGGTTTTTTGTAAAGTATCTCTGAAGTTTTTGAAGCCATGGAGCCTGAAGCTCGAGGAAATGGCTTCAAGGATGTCTTATTTTTCTGAATTCCTTGGTAGATGTTGGTATGCTTTAGTCTTGATTTAACTCCTTTTTACCTGTGGAGTATAATTTATCCTTTAGAGAATAGAAAGGACTCTTTCGCCAAAATCTAGCTCTTTCTTTAAAAGGAATTAAATTTCTTAAAACAATGTATGCTGTAATATTGTGCGTAATGTTTGACTCTTTGGCACTATCAGTTGTCTTTTGGTTTAACTAGCGTTTAGAGACACCTTGTGACATGTTAATAAGCTCTTAAAATTTTGGAGGTTGTTATGTCGTCCTATGTTTGAGTATTGTTCTGTGTAAACAAAATACAATACCATAACAATTGATAGTATAAACTTGACTCACATTTCAGTGAATTCTCTGGCCTCATGAATTGTTAGATTAATGTGGAAATTGAGAGAACTAAAACCGTCCTGGATCTTTGCTCTGAGGTTTGACTTTTTTTGAACTATCAAGTATGATATAATGTAAACTCTTCTAGAGTGTGAGCTAGAAAGGAGCTGCATATTTGTCATTTTCTGTGAATCTTTTTGTAATGGTTTATCTTCTTTGTTCACGGTTGATGTCTGGTTAATTCTTGTGTTTGGACTCTGTATTTTGTGGCTACAGAATGACATCATTGGCAGTAAGCGGGTAAGAGCACAGACTTTTTTTTGATGAAAACAGAGTGTTCTGGAATTGAGTTTTTATTCAGATGAGTGAAGGTTTTCAGAATATTTCTTTCAAAGAAGAGGAGCTTCCCTCCAAACATCTGCTTCTGGTGTGAGACGCGATGGGCTGAGAAGGAGTGCAGCGCTGGCTGCTGGAACACTACACAGGGCTGGCTGTGCCGTGCCTGCCAGCACCCAGTGCGCAGTGGGGCTTTTTGAATGGCTGTTCTAAATGTTTCACTGTAGGAATGTTACGGGATGGGATTAATGGGATTAATTCTAGTCTTCCCTTACTGTTTGAGGTGTAAGAGGTGGCAGTTCCTCATTATTGAGAAGTGTAAGTACAGAATATGTTGTTGACTGCAAGTTGTTAGACCATCTAGGACGTTTTCCCATAAGCTATTAAGGTAATGTTAACATGGGATTAAGAGAGCACTTGAGACATGTCATCTTTTCAGAGAGAGAGCTGGGACACACTTGACTGCCCAAGAGGAGATACGACAGTGTGTGTGCTATTTGCTCCTCTCATCTGCTTCCTGTATTCCTGTGTAATGCTTCCTCTTGTTCAAAAGCAGTATAGCATTTCCTCAGGAAGCTCTTTCCAGAATTTTCAGCTTCTAAACAGTACAAGTGGCAAACTAAAAGTCTTTCTTCAAAAAGTAAGCACCCTCATGCATTGTATTTTATTAATAATGTTTTCATGTCAGGCTTGTCTAACTAGATAGTATAATTATGCTGTTGCCTTTAGGAATAATATGGAGAATAGCTTTAGCAAATGCAGAAGTGTGTTTAGGGGAGTTACACTGTATGGCAGGCATCGTTTATTCATTTATATTCTGCAGGAGAACCTCTTTTATTCAGAGCTCTTGGAAAATGTTCATGGAAACTTTTAGGGAATTAGGACAGCTGGTCTAGCAGACTTTGAAGTCTGCAACACAGCCGGCTGGCCGGCATTCCCAGTGCCAACTGGCTCAGTAGCAAGTGGAGATGGCAAATGTGATTTTTGGCTTAGGAAACCCTGTATATATAGAAGATGACTTGATGACAGGCAAGACTCAATAAATCTGGTGACATAATTGAACTCTGTTAACCAGTGTTTGATCAGTTGGGATTAAACATCCCCCTACGTTTTCAATTAAAATTATTTAGGTTTTGGATTTTTTTTCTTCAATGCAAGAACTTAGTATCTTCTTCTCATTTAGTATCTTCTTTTGGTTTATCTGTCAGGACATTATTTTAACAGATGATTGAATTAGATTTCAGCTACTGTATGTCATTGCTGATCTCTAGTCATTGTCAAATTTCAAATGAAATGTCATCTGGAAGTAAGTCATATGCAAAGCTACAAGAGTTTGGCTCTGCATCTGTCAGCAGACTTTGTGAATAATCAGATTTCCTGAGAGGCTGTGGATTTCTCACTTCATTGACTGATTCTTTGCCTTACAGTACAAAAATAGAGAAGGAGAAAAAAGAGCATGCTAAGCTACATGGGATGATCCGTACAGAAATAAGTGGAGCTGAAATTGCAGAAGAGATGGAGAAAGAAAGAAGGTTCTTCCAGTTACAGATGTGTGAGGTAAGACTCAGCATGAAATTCATATTGTTCTGCTAGTATTTTTAGGAAAATTTTGAAAAGCACAATTGTTTAATGGCAACTGTGATGTTAAAGGGAAATGGCAAGTTATTAGTGGACTCTATTTGCTAAAACACGGGGGTTTTTTATCCTGATGTGCTAACTTTGCAGGGAATTTAGATCTTTTCTAGTTTCACTTAACAAGTAAATTGTAAAATAAATGAATAATGCAAAGCTCAGTTAAACACTAAGAAATGATAATAAATAAGCCTTTACAACATTACTTCACTGTAAGTTATTTTAAGCCCTAGATCATTCTCTGAATTTTTCCCTATGCTGACAGCTGTTGTGTTATTATGAGGAGAGACTCCAGTCTAGCACGCCGTTGGGCTGGTGCTGAAAAAAAACTGCTAAGGATGGAATCCAGTTGTCTTTCAAGATGCTTCAGAATGTTTCTACTTTGAAAGCTTTCTGATTTTGCAGTATGTTAAATCTGATGTGAATATTTTTGGTTCGATTCATTTAAGGGCATGTCAGGTTCCATGGTTGAGAATTCAAGTTGCTGTGTTTGTTCTTTCTGTGCATTAACTCAAAAATATACCATGGGTGTTTCTTCTATTTTTACTATGATGATTAGAGTTAATTTGACTAGTATTCTAACATAGCTTAACAGCAGTTGTCCTGAATATCGCCTTAAGTAACTGCATGCGCTGATACTTAGTAGAAAAGCTTCACGTTCCTATACAGGGTCAGACTAAAGTATTCAAAACTGATGAAGGGATTTGAGTGCCCAGTACACATATGGATGTTGCCAGTTAATTGCCCATCTGTATCCTTCTGAAGAAACAACCAGGAACAGACGCTTCTCTCTTCCTGTGTTACAGTAAGGGAGGAGTTCATTTTAGTCAGTTGTAGTGATAATAAATGCAGGGTAAAGTCTATGAAGTTGAATCAAGGTACAGTAAATGTGGAATAGCTGAAGTGTATCCTGTATTTATTCTGATTTTGGGGAAAAGACGTTTATACTCGGTTACCTCTGAATAGTCATAAAAGAGGACTTTGTTTTGGTTTTGACAGCAAATCAGAGGTGTGACATATTGAAGTTGTATCCTAAGTACAGGCTAGTTCTCTATAAATTGTGAAAGTGAACTGAATACTGGATGCCTAGAGCTCCATTTTAAGTAACAGGAGCTAGACGGGTGATTCTTCTAACTAAATACTATGCAGTGCACATGTCTACATCTAGGCTAATCATCTGTTCACCTGAACCAGTATAACAAGCTGCAACACTGAAGGCTGGCACTTGGGTACTGCTTTATTTTAGAGGGTTTAAAACAGGTAGGGTGTACTGCAGGTAGGGGAAGAGCAGATGCATTAAAGCATTGCTAAGAAGACATTCACTCCTTTGCTTGGAGGTCACTGTCTAAGCAGGGATTAAAAATTGTCATGATTTAATGGACAGTTAAGGAGTCCTGTAAATATTTAGTCAATCTTACTCTGCTTGCATGGCTGACATCTTTTGTGCTGTGGCATTCAGGGCAGGAGGTGTCACTTAATATGGGCTTTGCTTGTGCCTAATGCAAAAGGACACTAATTACACTTTTTTTTTTTTAGCTTGACAGTAGATTTTTAAAATCTCTTGCTAAACTGTATTTTGCTGTAATTACTGTGTATAAGGAGTTAATAGAGAAAACGGTAAAATCAGAAGGCAGATTTTAAAAATGGTTAAAATAATCCCTCACTCTTTTTGAGTAAACTGCTTTCTTCCTTAGTCACATCTATTTAGCAATTATTTTAATAACTAGTGAGATAGATACCTAGATGGGCTGCTAGGTTTAAGAATGGGTTCCTAAATTTACTACACAAACCTTTAACATAGGCTTCCAATAGAGACACGAAGGATGTTTTAACGATTTGAACTAATCATAGTGAAGTATCCCCACAAAGTATCAAAAAATCAGTGGTGACAACTGCTTTTGTGTGATTAACCCTTGAAGCCACTGTTTGATAAAGTTTCTTTTAGGTCTTCTAAATCTGCAACTTTTAAAGCTTGTTGAAATATAACTGAAAATAAAATTTAAAAAATACTGTAGCAGTAATAATTAATTTCTTTTGTGAATTACTGTTTTAACAGTACCTGCTGAAAGTCAATGAAATCAAGATTAAAAAAGGAGTGGACTTGCTTCAGAACTTGATCAAGTATTTTCATGCTCAGTGCAAGTATGTTTTAGTTTTCTTTATATCTACACAATAACTGGAGCAATGTTTTGGTTTAAACTTTTAACATTGCCATAACACTTTTCTAGATTTTTCAAAATAAATCTAAGATTCAACTGTTGATACTGATGTCTTTTGACAAATCACTTTGTCATAGGTTAGTCATTGCTTTTGTTACTGTATTCTGAAACATGTAATGAGGTTAAGCTGGTCCCATAGAATATAATTGTCTGTTCCAAAGGAGTGCCACACAAGAAGTTGTCATATTTCATAAACTACTCTTGAAACAGTGCTATTAGTTTGGTCTATTAATGAGTGGTCCGTTAGTTTTGATGGGCTTTTTTGAGTGTATCTAGCAATGATCTATATTAATTCTGTGCTCAAGAAAAATAAATTGTATAAGCAGTGGGATAAAACTACTGTGAAAGAATCACTCTTTTTCTATTTAATTGGAGGACTCAGTAATAAAGCACAAAGCTCTTGTTAGAGTGATGTACTTTTTTATGGCGGTCTTACAGATCAATAATATACCAATAAAGTCGTAGCTATAAACTTGAAAGAGTCACTGTTAACCTGTTCGAATAAGTAAGTTTTCATCTTAAAAGACCAGTCTGCATTTATGTAGATTTTTTCTTATATCACTATGTTGCTTTTAAAATCAGTTTGACTTGTAGTATGTCATTCATCTGCTCTGTCCATTTAATAACGTTTCAACAACATAAATGCTGTGTTGTGTTGTCACTTTTATGTCTGCTTCCCAGAGTGAAAATACTTTCTGTTGCAAATGGTGCAGCAATTTTTAATGAAATGTGTGTGTAGTTGTGGTTTCTTTAAATTTATTTTCTAAATCTCACTTTTTTTTTTTCCCCCTAAAGCTGGAATACTTGGCATAGATAATATTGCTGTGCCAGTACAAAAATACACATGATACAGTAAGATGTGGCATATTCAGTTTACTTATAGGCCATAATTAATGCTTGAGAAACAAAGGGTTTTTCCTTTAGTAGGAAGATAGTATCAGATGTGAAATTATTGGGCTCCAGGAAGTCACAATTATTTTGTATCTACTGGAGCTTTTGCTGTTCTACAAATGAATCTTGCATGTTCTGGGCCTTCAAAAAGTAGGATGAGAAGTGTATTTGAGGTGAGAATGAGGAAAACTTATGTGATAGTGGATTGTGGCAGTTCTGAATCTAATTGGGGATTTTGCATGTTAGAATAACCTACGATGGAAGTAAAGAGGTGGATCAGTCAAAGATGCATAAAAAACAATGTTTAATGTTTTTAAGTTTATGGCGTGGCATAATAATAATGCACATCTTCCTTTGGCAACTTTTTAAACAGAAAATACAAAGTAAAGTTTAGTAACACTTTGCTTTTTGTTTTTAAGTTTCTTTCAGGATGGATTAAAAGCAGTTGAAAGTCTCAAGCCTTCAATTGAGACACTCTCCACAGATCTTTATACAGTGAGTAGCAACCTTTCACATTTGTGTTGCAAACTTAGTTTTTTTACAGTAAACCTGTGATTATTTTGGTTCAGGTTGGCTGACTTCCAATAGTCAGCATTTTAAGGTTTTGAGTAGATTTTTGAGTAAAATTTTGTTTTAATATCATACCCAGAAGCCTTAGCTTCAGTTCAGGACCCCACTGTGTAAAATGTTAGGAAAACAGCCTTTGCTCTCAAATGTTTACTAAGTAGAAAATGACATGTGGTTTCAAATTGAACACAAGGGAGCAAGAACAGTGTGAGGCAATATCAGAGTTTTAACTGGGGAACATCCTGGCCGTTATCAAGTTTTCTGAAGATACGAAGGAAAATAAACTGATCACGTTATCTTTTCTCTTTGTGTTTCTATTGCTGAACATTTCTCAGAAAAATGAACCAATTAAGTAGCAAGTTTGGAAGAACTGCATTGAAAAGAAAGAATAATGTTATTTTTAACCTGTGCTTTTCTTCATTCGAGATTAAACAAGCACAAGATGAGGAAAGAAGACAATTAACACAGCTTAGAGATATTTTAAAATCAGCGCTCCAGGTTGATCAGAAAGAGGTGAGCATATAAGGCGATTTAACTTTGGAATACCCATTTTAATTACTTCTAATATAATGTTAGTATTTGAAATAGTTATTTTTCCTTTTATCAGCCATCTCATTTCTTTTGTTTATTCATCTTTGTTTTGATGTTGGTATTGAATGTTTCTGATAAAGGCAGTTTAAAAAAAAATTAATTCCCACTAAAAATATATGACACTTATTGTAAAATAATTTGGTTGTTACCAATATTGCAAAATACTTAAGATGGTGCAGTGTCTGTGAACTAACAATGGTGTCTATGTTGCTCAAACTGAGAATGGAAGAACTTTGGCAGTATCAAGGAGACCCCATTAGTACAATCTTATCTCACAAGAATATTCCAGACTGTGTAAGATTACATAAAACTGAATTTCAAAACTCAAAATACCTCTTGTCATCATCTGCAAAAATGACAATTAAGTTTGTTACTTTGCTGCAAGATACCAGTTTTCAAACATGCAAGGGCTGGGTCAGTTTGGCAATCTAACAAATGAGTGTTTTCTGAGTTCCAGTTATGATTGCTGTTAGATTTAAAGAATTCTGGAATAGTTTTATTTGGCAAACTCTGATCTGGAAGCAAGCATCTTTTTTATAATCTAATCCTAAATATTGGGTCTACCTTTATTTCAGATTGGTAGTGCTTCCTCTTCATATAAGTAAATGCCAGCCAGCTTACTTTGTGTGGCTGCTGGGCCATAAGTAAGTGATGAATGGACATCCTCCTCCCTTTTCAGATTCTCTTTCTGAGAGGGATCACAATGAGATAGTTTAGTCTGTAGAGCTCAGACTTCCTTGATCTTTTCTAGTCTTGCTTTCACCTTCCCATAAAGGTTATGGTGACTCCTAGCTCTTACTGATGGCCAGATGATGCTTGTTGAGCAACCTAATGTAGTGAGATATCGCTGCTCATGGCCTGGGGTTTGGACTAGATGATCTTTAAAGGTCCCTTCCAACACAGATCATTCTGTTATTCTGTGACTTGCTGATAGACATTCGAACAGTCTTAAATGCTCTTCACTTTGAGGTGCTGTTTGTTACCATGTGAAGTTTGTGATAATGACTATTGTGTACAAAGTCCCATACAGTTTGCAGGCGCTTTGTTAGGTTCTACCTGGCATTTAGGACTCACTGAGGGATGCATTTAAAAACTTCCAAATTTGGCCTCTGTGGAATGACGGACTAGTGATCCTAGTGGAAATGGTGACTAGTTTGGATTCACCATTGATTGCCCACTCTCAATAAGGATTCTTTGCTGTTTAGGGTGTGTTAGCAGGCTTCCTATTTTATTCAAGTCTTTGTTAAAGAGAGATAATAGAAGTAGCTGGGTTTCATGGTTGCTGGGAATGTTGCTTCTTTATGTTCACCTGTTTATCAGTGATACTGATATTAAATGTGTATTTTAGATGTGATGAGCACACATGTTTTCAGAGACTGAAAAACGTAATAACATACCTACATTTATTACTTGGACTGTTTTTGTTGCTTTTAAAAATACAAGTGTAAAAAGTGCTCTATGCTATATTCATTATTTATTAATTCTGCAAATTCAGATATAGATGCTTACCTGCAGAGCATGATAAGTACTATAATTATTTTGAAAGACTTTTGAAAACATCAGTTAGTCGGTGGGATGCCAGACAATGCTGGTATAATTTACTCTACGACCCATTAATATTATTCTTGTTGCACTGTAATTTCCTTTACTATAACTGATTTCTTTTTCTTTCCTGAAATGCATTTACGTTTTGTGACCGAAGTCTAGGAGAGTAAGTGTTACTATGTTTTAATGAAAATAGTTGGCATGATTTCCATTCAGATTTCAAGAAACTGGATTTTTCCTCTGAGCTTTTTTCTGTTGGTATGAAAAGACTGGTTCTTTTTTCTCTTATTCTGTTTGTTGTATTACCAAAAAATAAAAAAATTCTAAGGTTCTTCTTGGAAAGAAAACTGCTGTAAGACAAATTGGTAATTTCCTTTGCACTCTCTTTTGGGAATTAAATCCAGTTGCTTGATTTGATGTTCTTTCAAGATCTTGAAGGTATATGTATTGTTAATTAAAATGGACTTCATGTATTAAATAATAGAACTTTGACATGTATTGTTTCTGTTGTGTTTAAAAAAAAAAAAAAGATAAAAACATTCATAGTGAACCTTTTTTGTTGTGCCTGTATACATAGTTTCCTCCTGCACAGAACTTCCTCGAACCTGGTTTGTATTGAAACTTCTTTTTGAAATGTCATTGTGTATACACCTCTGTAATTTTTAATTTTTAAACTTTTATTTTTCAAACTGTATAGCTCTTACAAGTTTTGGGGTCAACCTTAGAATCATACTGCCTTCATTTCTCTCTTTCATCCTCTCTGAAGGTTGCCTCACTGTAGAGTTTAGATTTGCTTCTGCTTCTTCTACAGGTTTGGTAGAACCTATAATCTATTTAGGCCACTGCAAAATAGGATAGATTTTGTGTTTCTTGACAAAAATTACTGTAGCTGTGCTACAGGAGAGACTGCCTGGAGGGGGTTCTGGCTGATACATCTGTTGGAGGCTCTGTGGGGCTGTAATAGATAAGGGATGGATCTCAGAAACATCCTCTTGGCAGTGATCCTGCAAATGTAAGAGGAGCTCAGGCTTTTGGAGAGCTGTAAGTGCCTTTTGGCAGCTCTATGCACAGGAGTGATCCGAACAGTCTAAACTCCTTTCTCTGGGAGCTGTGGAATGGCTAGCCAAAATTTACTGTGTATAAGTTAAAGCACTTTGTATGGAAAGTTCTGTTGTGTTCAAATAGTGGGGCTGAGAAACAGGTTTTTAGAATCTCTGTTATCAGTAGTCACAGACCATCTTTACAGAATACTGTTTTCACATTACTTTCACTTGTAGCTATGCTATTCAGCTTGTTTAGAAGTCAGTTGGTCTTTATAAGACTTTGGAAGAAATAATTTCAAACCTCTATGGTCAGTGAAGTGATTCACTGTAAACATGCTGCAATGAAATGACTCACCTTTTTTTTTGTATCCGTATCTGCATTTCAAAGGTGATAAAGTGGACAAAGTTCAGTTTCTTAGGCTTGTGTACTTCAGTTTGTTGTGATCTTGTTATATTCAAGAGATATTTAAAATTACAGTACTCTGCGCCGGGTATGTCCTATACCCTGCGGTGATCTGTTTCCTCCCATAAGTAATGTGTATTGTTCCTGCTCCTCTGATGAGGCCACTGGATCTGACCCTGTTATCTGTGATTTGTACTCCTGTTATGTGCAATATGCAAACCAGAAAGAAGGGAAGATCCTTTGGGGAGTATGCATGTGGAAAAGAGATGCTAAAATTGCCCGGAAGGATGTTAATTGTGATGGTGATTCGTGGAATGGAATCCTGTCTGTTAGGAGCTAGATCAAAATCATGAACTTGCTTGTCAGAGCGCTGTGGAAAACCATCATCTGGCAATCACGTTGGACACCGTGGATTTGGACATGGCCTGAACCAGGGATTTAAAATTGAAAATCACCTTGCCTGGTCCTTAAGTTCTTTCCATGAAGTAGTGTTAAATTTTTTAAAGATACTGCTCATAGTAATGAATGTGTGGAAATACACGTCAGCTACAGCAGCTTCCTCTCTGGTTGAAATAAGGCAGGAAGCTTGTATTATTGACTTGCCAGTTTGGCCAAACACAGCAGCTGAGTGTAAACATCTGAAGGGAGGTAGCTGAAATGCAGTAGAAAATAATGCACAAAAAGTAGAAGCACAATCTCAAGTAATGGGAATGGTGCTATGGGCAGGTGTTGGAGGTCATCTGAAATCCTTACATAATTGAGGATGTGGAGAACTGAAATTAATTTCCTGTAAAGCCTCTAATCTTCTTGAGGATGGAGTTCCTTTACTGACTAATGGGAGGCAGAGATCAAGGCATTGGTAGGACACAATAGGCAGTGTCAGATCAGATTTTCTTCAGAAGTCAGCAAATGTATGTGTGCAGCAGTTCTTAATGAGTGACGAGAGTTCTTTTAAAATGTTATTCTGTTTTTATGTTTGGCAGCAAGAGTGCAAAACCAAATAATTCTGTGTAAACAGGCTGGAGAGGAAAACAGACTGGTTTAAATCTGAAAGGATGCTTTGTCAGGCACAGACATTTAAGTGGTGGTTTTGTAGTGCTGTTAAAAGCCTCAGATGAATGTTACAGCTCCCTAGGACAGCTTCCTAGATTGCTAGCTGAGAGACAGGGAGCTGGGCACAGGTTGCTTCTGCTGAAAAGGAGCACCAAGGAGTGCTGCAGTCTGCCTTGAGCTCAGCTTATGGTTCAGAGGACCACTGAGCTCTAGCACTGCACTCAGGATGAACCTGAAATCCTGCAGTCAGGAGGTATGGAGTTCTAAGTGAACCAAACAGGAGTGTCGGTGGTAGCTCTGTCCCTACCATCATATTTTGGACCTGTCATGTGTTGCTGCTACTGTTGAGGAGGATCTTGAACAGTTTTGGCTGCATTAGTAGCTTTGGTAGCAGAATATGCTGCTGGAGCTTGTAAAGGAGCAGCATTCCATCTGAGTTGTCACGCTCTGGGGAAAAGCACAGTCCAAGTGTGTTCTTGGTTTTAGTTGGTCTTTTTCCCCTGCTTACATCCAGAGTTGTCTTATACTTAGGCTAGTAAAGTGTATGAAGCTAATTGTAATTAGAGAGAAACGATGTTCTTAATTCATACTTTTTAGATCACTATATACTTTATTTTGACATGTGTACACTCTGAAAACCCCAAACAATGTATCTTATGATCATACTCTTAGTATATCTGAGACGCACTATATCATCTTTTTGTCAAAAGACATTTTATCAAATTAGTAATTTTATTTCTTAATAACGCTTAAGGTTTTGCTTAGAATAGTTCAGATAGTCATTTCAGTGAGATGATTTCTTTGCCTTTTTTTCCTCACTATACTTGTATTATCTGCCATATATAATAGAGATATATTACATCCATAGAGCAAAGATACTAGAAAAGAAAACAGTAAGTATTATAAATACTAGTCATTGTTACTGTATGCATTGAAAAGTCCATCCCGTCATGTTACTGCTGCTAATATAGCATGACACATCAGATTGCTCATTATCAGGTTCTTATTTTTTAAGAAGTTGGACTCTTGCAGCGGTGAGTCCTGACTCTCGGCAGTTCTGAGAGCAGTGAGAAGGGTTTAGTTACTCTTTGTCACTTCCTGTCCCAGAATTCTACTTTGTTCAAGATATTTTGGTTTGAATTATTCTTATGGAAATAACTTTCCAATTTTCCTGTATGTCTCCTGAACTATGTTTCCAGGAGGTCTCTTCTGCTTTTCAGACAGTATCTTGACTCAGTTTCCACAAGGAAAACCTGTTCTTCAAATTTATATATGTATTTTTTTACAAAGGAAGGGTGCGCTAGGAATTGCAGGTAATAATCTTTTGTGTTTGGACACTGCAGTATTTGCATGAGTTGGACAGCCTGCTGCTCAATTAATTTTTGGGATAAAAAGAACATACATTAAGACCAATAGTAAACCTAAATAAAAGCAAGTAAGAGGATTTTGATGGGTGCTGATAATGGCTACTTCTCAGATGTTTTTTGTGCCCTCTGAAAAAAGAAATGGATCTTGTTCTCTCTCATTGAGGAGCAAAAATGTGCTTCATTTGGCCTGTAGGATTAGGGCAGCAAGGAGAGGCTCTGCAACTCATTAATAGGGGAGATATTTTGGTTGAAAGTGTGGAATGCGTTACAAGTTGCTGTTCTCTGTATTTCAGGATTCTCAGATTCGTCAGAGTACAACTTACAGTTTACATCAGCCTCAGGGAAACAAGGAACATGGCACTGAACGAAATGGTAGCCTGTACAAGAAAAGTGATGGGTAAGTACTGCTGGATTCTACTGAAAAAAAAGTTAGGTCCTAAGAGCTGAAGCAATGCAATACTAAATATATTAAAAACTAAGTCACTTTTTTTTTTCCCCTCCCTTTAAACCAGAATCAGAAAAGTGTGGCAGAAAAGGAAGTGCTCAGTTAAAAATGGTTTTCTTACAATTTCCCATGGTACAGTAAGTATTTGTTTACAGTATTTTATGTATGTGGTTGCTAATACAAAAAGGCAAACTATGCTGGTCTATATTTATAATTTGGAATTAGCTAGATTCCTGATGCAGTGATTTGAATATGATGGATAAATTTTTTAAGGCAGTCTTTCAGAAATACATAAAGACATACACAGTATCTAAAAATACAACTGTTTTAATGCTCCTGACTGTTAATGGGGAAAAAAAAGGGGTTTTTAATGACTCATTTAGCTCATAAAAACTGTTCATACTTTCCTATCTAAAAAATACAAATTCTAACTTCATTTTTTTGGAAAGTTATGGTGGGCATTAAGCCATCTTTTAGATACAGGTTGAACAACTTTTTATATTTATGAGACAAACTGAGAGAATGCTGAATGTCTTCCCCAGATTTCCTGCTATATGGTAATCTGTTATGGAGGTAGCTTTCGTGGGGAGTAGCTGTTGGGGAGAATAATTTCTGAAGGCAACTTCTACCAGAATGACAAGAGAGAGTTAGAAGTCCTTCTTTCTTTGCTACCAATATTTGAAACACATCAACAAACTTTCAATATTTAAACTTAAAATTTACACTTTCATATTTTGGACCTTTTACACTTGGCTTTGAACTCGGCTGTTTTTGCTTTCCCATAACTTTTACTTTTTCATATTGCTTTCTTAAAACTTTTAAGAAAGTTTCTGAAGGCAAAAAACAACTCAGTGACAGTATTTGCCATTCTTGGTCTAATAAACAGTCCTGTCTTGTGATCCTGTTATGAACCGTTCTGTTCTTCATCCTGTTATGCCTGTTGCTATGACTACAGGTTGACCCTGGAAGCAAAAATGAATCAATCTCTCATTTGTGCATCTAACCACGAGCTGTTGCCTTCTGAATTGACAACCAGGAGTTAAGGAGGAGTACAAAACCAAGCCTGCAGAGTAGAATCGTTGCTATAGCTTTGGAATTGTCCACCAGTTTATCCCTCTGCTCGTCTGAGTGTGTATGAGTGCATCTTTGTCAGAGAAAAGTCTATTAGTCTATTCTATACTGGTGTCTCCGTGTGCTGTAAACACCCTTGGCATTGGACAGGGTGTAGTGGTACCAGTAGGATGTGACTGGGGCAACTCAGAGCTGACAGAGGCTACAAAATCCACTTGTAGAACAGAATGTTAAAACTTTCACATGCAAGTACAGTTACTGAGTCTATCAAGATACTGTTGTTCTCTTTTTATAAGCTGTCTACCCAGGTGGTCTAACATTTTTAGAAGCAGTAAGTTCCCACTGAAATCAGTGGAGCTGTAGCTGGAAATCAGTTGCTAAGGCAGATACTTCAATGTGATTTTAGATATGTGGGTTTCACAGGTTTGGTCTTGATCTTTTTATATTACAAAATTAAAAGAGTGCCGCCTTGTTTTAAAATACACTCCTAAAAATTATTTTTACTTATTTGCTCACTTTCCCCTTGCATATTGATGGCAGTCTTGTGTAAAAAAATTAATGCTTTTTTCACACACATTTTAAAGGGTAGAAGCAATATCTGTTTGTTAAGAATTTTCTGGGCTGCTGTGAATGTCTTCTGAGACTTCTGGAGCAACAACATTGATTTCCAGGCTTTCTCAGGGTTGATATCTCTTGGTCTCTAAAATATGATGTGTCATTCTCTCTTCCCAGTTGTTCATCAAAATGAACCATCTCTCAGAAATTCAGTTGTCAGTTTTGTTTGCTTTATCAAATACAAATTTGTAAATGCTTTTCCTTTAAAGGCTAAGTAGTCTTCATGGATTTTGGTTCTTTGGTCATGTAGCCTCTCTTTATGAGGGACTATTTTTTCAGTTAGTTTCTAGAACAGCTATCTTCAGGCAGTTGCAGATGCTGTATTCTGACTTAAAGATGCCTGCCAAATGCTCTCCTGATATAGATGGAGACAATATGGTTGGTTCTCTGTCAGTCACCCAGCTGTAATGCTGAATATATGTGTCTGAGTTGGCATTTGTGCAGAAGTTACACTTTTAGACAATTAAAAGCTTCAAAGAAATTAGCATTCATAGAGCAACATGCAAGGTAACGGTTGATGGAAAAAGAGACACTGCTCCTTTGTGTAATTATTAGCTGTTGGAAATTTTCTGACATCTACCTGACTGCAATTTAACGCGCATGCATGAAAAAACAATGATAGAAGCAGATTGAACCATGTAGATAAGAATTCCTAAGTGGTTTTCAGATCAAGAAGTCACAAGGGAAAGATTTACATTTGAGGAACCTCAGATTCCTCAAAGTTGATTTGTCTTTAAACAGCTTAAATGGAATTTGCTCGTTGTCTGCAAAAAGGAATATAAGAGAGACTCATTATCAAAGAATCATTTTTGTTGTTCTTTATTTACTGCTGGGAACTTTAATCTATCATTATGATTAACAGGACAATCTGAAGGCAAAATAATGAAATATTATCTTTTGATTCTTAAGTAAATGACTGTGATATCCAGAAAAAATGCACGATGAAATCAGCCAACCAGTCTGTTAAGTAAGTGGACACATTTGCTCGTGCCTTTTGTAAGAATCAGCTCTGTATCATGGCACTCCTCGGTATTGTCTTAGAGGCCTAACCTTTTGATTCTTACACTTACTGTTTGTTGCCTGAACAAATTGTAAGTCAGTTTTGCTGCGTAGAGGGTTCCTGTTCCTGCAGGAGGGAACATGAGTTGATGCTGAAGTCTGCGTGTGTGGCATGAAAGGTGGCAGCACATCTTTCCAGGCTGCTGGTGTGTTAACATGGGTGTCCAAAAAGTCAGCAGTAGTCTGAAATGTAATTGTCTAATCAGAGATTCAAGCAGGAAAATAAAGCTCAGCGGTTTCAAACAAGCAGTTACACATTTGTTACCATTTTCTACTTCTAGTGTCTCCTAATCCTGCCAAATGTCAGGATCCACCTACAGCCTAGCGTGGTTAAGGAATTTATACAGCCTTACCTCCCTTTGTCTTGTGGCTCTAACTTCTCCCCAAGCAGCACCTGCCATGCTATGGAAGCAGGCTGTCCGCCAAGAAACGGGCAGTGTCGGGGAGGTGGGTGGAGGGAGGCTGTTACTCTGCTACAGGATAGAAGCATGAATGAGGTGGTATCAGCCACATGCGAAGATGTCAGGGTTTTTTAATACCCTTGTTAATGCTGACTTCAGGTTAGGAGGTCCTCAGTTAAAAGCTTTGGAATATCTTTGGTTTCCAAGATCAGCACATTGGCCCATGATGTGTTTTAGGTTATTCCAGCCATTTCTTTGGGTTCTCAAATTCTGATAGGGAATTCTTAGGCTGCATCCTTCTATCCAGAGAGATGAGTTCTGTGTATATTGGTCCTTCAGACCTCTCTGAAGCATTTTAGTGGATCCATTTACAGCTTTGTATTTCGTAAGTTTTAGAAAATTAGTTCAGTCCTGAATACACTTCAGATCCAAAGTCCTGGGGCAAGTGGATTCTTTCTTAACCTGAATTTGCTTGCATTTTTACATTCTCATAGAACCTGTCAGAAAGGTATACATGAGTTGCGCAGTGGCTTGTTTACCAAAATACTTACATTTTGATTTTTGTTTGCTTTATTTTGTATTTTCATTATAGACAGCTTCTGGACATTTCTTGGACAAACAGTTACATTAAAACTGTAAACACTGGAAACTTTAGTGCTATGGATATTAAGTATATTTAAATACAACTGAGAAAATGGGCCCAAGCTGGCATTTTCAAAATGTTTTCTTGAATGCTTTTAGTTACAAAGAACTCTTGTTGTTGATAGGCTAAAATAATGAAATCTGTATGCACTTTTACTACTAAAAGGAATGTGTGGAATTTGAAAAGCTGTTTACTAGGCAGAGAATACAATGTGGTTGTCAATTACTGGTCATCTTGCTGCCTCCAAAATCTCTCTTGGGTACCATTTGTTTTGCATTGCTCAGCAAGTGACGAGCAGGTTTGTTATTTCAAAGCATATATGACTTTGTTAGGTCTGCTGCTTATGTTGGGCAAAGCAGGAGGCTGCTGTTTTTCAAGGACACCATGCTTATTTTTTTTTTTTTAATTTTTTTTAACAGGAAAAAAATACATAATTGTTTCCCTTCTTATGTTTCTCTATGGGTTTGATTTCTTACTAGTCTTCAGATATAATGATGATGATGATACTCTTTTTTGACCAGCTACATCGTTTTATCAAATTATTTCAAGGAAACCTATACTCTTCAGACTTGTTCTCCCTCCTTTTTTGAATGAAATGTTTTCATCAATAAATTTAGAAGAGATTGAGAAGATCTGTATTTCTTACGATTCACTGCAAGTTAATTACATTATGTGGTAGTTCAGCTTCATTTGATAATAGTTCTTGCTCAGATTATTAAATCTTGTTTTAGCAACTTGATAGATTAAAATTGTTAGAACACAACAGTAAGTGTGGTAATGTGTTTATGTAAATTGCCATCTTTATAATAGTACTTTCCTAATTATTTAAATTACTGTTTTTCAGATATTATTGTCTAGAGCAAAGTCTCTTCAGTTAAATCTGCTTTCTGATTTAATTATTTTAAAAGAAATATGAAACTAGTTATCCATTGTAGTAAATGCAAACCATTCTTCCAAGTCAAGGTTGCAAACATAATGTCTTTCCTGCTGCAGGTCTGTAGGACTGACTGGTTAAGAGAAAGAAGAGATTAGTGCAGAGATGCTATTTGAAAAGTCTTTGTGGTCTTTATGAGACTTTTCCAAAATGAAATTTGCTTGTGCGTTTTGCTTTTACTAAAATATTGCCACTTTTTATTCAATAAGGAACTGAAATAGCTGAGAGGAACTTGACTAGAAAATGTACATCATTATAGAATGTATTTTGTTTCACGACATTTTTTAGTAATGAACTATCTCATTTTATTTTTGTGTATGTTTGTTGCAAGACTTCTCTGTGCAAACTTACCTTCCTTCAGTGTGTCCCTTTACTGATTTAAGAATTGAGCATTTGTTCTAAACTGATTATCTAGGCTCTCTTTAAAGACATTAGCAGGAGTCAAATTATTTGATTATTGAAAACCTAGACAACTAATTTTTTTTAAATTAGATGTCTAAATGTTCAAGGATTAAACTTACGTAAAATGAATCTGTCTCTTTGTCATACCTGATTCCTTCAGATAAGCATTACTGGTCAGGTGATCAGAGTAGTGATAATTAAAGTGATTTTACCTTTCTCCCCTTTCAAAATTCTAGTGTCTATCCAGTTATCAGTGAAGAAAATAGCCAAATGTAAGAAAATGTAATTTAAAAACCATGATGCAGAAGAAAACATAAATCAAAACCTGGGTACTTTAAAAATTAAAACAACAGCCGTTTGACAAGTTTTTTTGACCAGTGGGATGTTATCCTATGTTTGCGGACTGTAGGGCTCAGTCAGTATCAGTATACTAAAATGTTTATGTTTTATCTTCAAATAGGCTAACCGACCTCCAGCAAAGCTCAATCTGTTAACCTGCCAAGTGAAAACAAACCCAGAGGAGAAAAAATGTTTTGACCTCATATCACGTAGGTTTGTTGTTTAGGTCTTTTTACTTGCAGCTAATATCAAAGAGTTTTGCATTATATCTGTAGATGTGTCAATAAACATTTCCACCATTGTAGAATGCTTCCCTTTATAAAATGCCCTACCTATGACAATTTACCATTTCACTTATTTTAGCATAATGCAACTAACTGTACATGTTTCTGTGGAAAACCACTTGTTTTTAAAGCTATCTTTACCCCTTTTTTCTGTACCATTTTGTGCTACCTTAGTATAGAATAAGAATATTTTTGCTGTGACATCACTCTTTATATTGAAAATGTCATAGCTGTACAAGGTCAAAAGAAGCTTTTAAACCATGACAAAACTTCTTAAAATTTAAGCATAGTGGTTGCTATGTAACTGTGAAGAAAATACTGAGAACGTTTTTTGTTTTGTTATTTCATGATAGATATAAAGGTGAGATAAAGAGTCTACATATTAAAAACACCAAAACTGAATAATTTTGGGAACTGAATGGGAAAATATGGGATTGTATAGTAGACTGTTTCCTTTTTTTTCTCACTGGGACATTTCAGTATCATATTTATGGACTCAATAAAAATATATTACTAAAATATATATATCAAATTGTTTGGGGAGAAGAATGTAAATCTATTCCTCATTTGTTCCTTTATCGAACGATAAAGTTCTTTTGTATTTGTAAATGTAAGATATGCTACTTATGTTAATAGACTAGTACTCATGTATGCAATATACAGCTTTTCCAGTTCTGCACAAGCAAGTGGTCTTCCCTGTGTATTTTTGCACTTACTTTCTTTGTTGATGACTGTGTCACATTTTGCCCAGTATCAGCTTATCACATTGCCATTTGTCCCATCATACATATGACAAGGCATAGCCGGCCTCTTAGCCTTCTCCAGATCACTTTTTCAGTTTGTTTTACTGTAGAGTTTAAAAATATTCCTTATTTTTTTAAAAAATGCAAATTGCTCTGTCATGGCAACATAAAATCTCTTATTCTTAATCTAATACTTTCCTTTCTGTCCTTTCATATAGCCTTACTCTCTTAATATTTTCCATTTTTAAAACTATCATTTAATACCTTTTTGACTGAATATTTTTCAGACTTTAGGAATTTTCAGCCTGCAATATCTTTTTGCCAGTAGCTTTACCTCTCTTCTCATCAACTATTCTAATTTTAACTCCAATTCAATCATTAACTGTATTATATCTCATTTGTTTCACTGACTTAAAATGTATTATGCTTTTTTCTTTAATAGTACACTATGATAATAATGCTTAGAATAACAAAAGTAGTAGCAAATTGAAATTTCTAAGCTTGATTTAGTTGAAACAGCTTGGAGCTTATTCTGATTGTAGTTTGGACTTTGCATCTGGCACATCTGTTTTGCCATTTTTGATTACTGTGGTTTTAAGAGCTCATTTGGAAATTTGAAATCTTTCTTACATACACAGATAAACTCAAGTATGGACTCTATATTTTACTTACGTACACCACTCCCCCCCAGCAGAACTTTAGACTTGTGATTACCGAGGTTATATCTAGAACATGGAAAAATTACTATGCTCTCCTGCTCCTTATGCGATAGAAGCACAGCACTGAAGAAAACATTTTCTGTTTAAAGAGCAACAAGCCACCTTGTGTAAACATAGGTGTAAACATAGATGAACTGTAGGCACTAAGAGTGAAACTTGGTAAATAGACTTTTTGCCTGTCAGCACTCCAGTGATGAAACTAGAGACCTCAGGAGTCATACATCAATTAATTTTAGGTATTTCTAAGAGATTTCTGCAAAATCAGTTTTTCAATCATTTTTTTTAATCAGTATGTGAATTATTTGTTGTGCAGACGACAGGACGTACCACTTTCAAGCAGAGGATGAACAGGAATGTCAAATGTGAGTTACTTTGCTAATTTTATTTTTGATACTGGTGTTCTACTGAGATGTTACCTTGAACTTTAGAAGTGTGGAAACATTTAATAGCAAAATATTACTGCCATTTTAGATGGACATCTGTGCTACAAAACAGCAAAGAGGAAGCTTTAAATAATGCATTCAAAGGAGATGATAACACAGGAGAAAATAATATTGTCCAGGAACTGACAAAAGAAATTATATCTGAAGTCCAGAGGATGACTGGAAATGATGTGTGTTGTGACTGTGGAGCACAAGGTGACTCAATTAAGCATATTTCTAATTGGTAAAAATTCTATGTCTCATGAGAGTATTTAAGCTGATGTTTTATGCTTTCACTTTTACTCCTTATCTCACAAAGATTATACACATAGTAGAATATGCTAACAATTTAATTGCACTACTTCAGTAAGATTGTTAGTGGGGAGAAAAGTTACTAAGAAGCTTATTTTTCTCCCATGTATTTTGCTAAATGAAACTTTTATAAATCAATTGAACTTATTTTATTAGCCCATATTTTACACAAGATTTAGGTAAAACTGTACAGCAGTAAGATAGGTAGAGTATTTTCCTAATACACCTGTTTTTATGTTCGGCTTTGAGAGTGAGCTAGGGAGTATGTCTAAGACTGTGCTCATTTGGAAAAGAATGCACCTGCTAAGTATGGTTTGCAGTGTTGGTTTTGTTGATTGATGAATTTCTACTTTAATTCTCTTCAGACTATTTTTTAAATCCTGCTGTTTCCTGTGTTCTTTTATGTTCTTTTATGTTCTTTTACAGAGGCACTGCAGGACTTAGGGTTTTTTGGTCTGAAACTGTAGCTGAAAACATCAGATCTGAAGCTGTATGCACTTTATAAATCGATAGTAACTTCCAGCAATAGATACTGTATAAAACTAGGGGAAGAGTCAGTCCTGCTGTCTTTAAAGGAGAAGCTTATAAATAGCTACTACCAAACCTTTATCAAATAAATGAATTTCTAAGTTGTCTAAATCTTCAGAAATTAATTATTTATCTGGAAGATGAGATGTTATAGCAAGAATGCAAAGTACCAGGAGAAAAGACAGGCAAGGGTAACAAAAGGAGAAGGATGAGCCTTAGTATCTTTGAAATAGTTGAGTGATAATCCGTTGTAGTGTGGTGCTGTATGTATACTTCAGAATCACTGCTGCTTCACTTTAGACTAAAGCCTATACTTGAAATACAAAAAAAACCCCTGTAGTCATTGTTTTTTCAGTTTGAACTGCATCTGTACCCCTAACTGAGAATGTGACACCATTATATTGGTGGTGGAAAAATGCAGTTCCTGAAAGCCATGTGGAGAACGACAAACTGAACTGTTTGAGCTGCTCCCTTGGAGAGCAATATCCTTTAAAAAAAAATTAAAAAAAAATTTTACATCTTCACTTCTTTCACCATTAAAAAAAAATCCTAGTTTGTGTTTCGCAGTAGAGTAAATGGAAAGATATAAATTTAAAAAAATGATAATTCATGTACAAGAATCTTATTTTACAGAATTTCATTTCTGTATACTACATCTTCTAGAATGAAATAATTGCCTGAATAAATTTTAATTCTGTGGGTGCTTTCTGTTTCAGATCCTACCTGGCTTTCAACAAATTTGGGAATTCTGACTTGCATTGAATGCTCAGGAATCCATAGAGAACTTGGTGTTCACTATTCCAGAATGCAATCACTTACATTAGATGTGCTGGGAACATCTGAGCTTTTGGTAATCAAATTGCTTTTATTAGCTTTAAAATAGTACTATAAAATACTTCCAGCACAAGTATATTTTTGTCACTTTAATGATACGTTGTTCCAATCCTGAAAGTTGCCTCTGCATAAACATAATTTGAGAAAGCTTAATCCTTAGAGTTTAAGGGAACCTCCTGGAACATAATGTCTTACCGTAAACTTTGCTTGATCTTAGAATTCAAATTAGTAGAGGCTTCATATTTTTTGTGTTTCCAAGTCTTTTTACCCTTGATTGCTTTTAAAAGAACACAACTGTGTGACATATAAATGTGCTTCCCAGATTAAAAATTGAAAGCCTTCACAAATACTTATGCCATTAATTATTTAGCATTATTTTAGAAGAGAACTTTAATCCTCAAAGGAATAAAATGTATTCATCTTTTCTACACAAAGAAGTTACCACATATCAGCTGCTCTCTGACAGTTCATATGTGTGTTCTTACCCAGCATGAAGTATTTGCATTTATTGTATGAACTGGTGTCTTGATGGACTATTCTGCAGTTATTTGTTCGTGTATTAAATCCCAGCTGAAAACTGACATCCAAAAAGGTACCTAATCTGTTCGTGATCACTGACATAGTAGCAGAACTAGGAATCAGAAACAAAAAGTCCCATTTTCCCTTGTCCTCCCACTAGTATGTGCGTGCCCAATAACTGAACATGTTTATTAAGTGAGCTGTGGATTATTTTTTTAACAGCTTGCCAAGAACATTGGGAATGCTGGGTTTAATGAGATTATGGAATTCTGTCTGCCAGTTGATGAGATGGTCAAACCTAATCCAAGCAGCGATATGTAAGTAAAGAGCCAGTACTTCTGAAAAAGGCATTAATTTAATATTGCTAATGGGTTGCGCCATTATAGTTTGCTCCAGCAGGCCATGGAAGATACATAATGTGTTATATGTAGCCTTATAACCAAGGAGTAAACCTTTTTTCTGATGCTTTACATGTCTGTTTTATTAAACTTTATCTAATTTCACCTTCCCTAATAGTAAGGATTATTTTACCAACTCTCTGAATCATGATTTGTGGGACAGAAACAAATTAAACATGACTTCTTGGGAATTTTAAAGATGCACAAGGGTAGGGATTAAAAACAAAGCAATTAATTTTGTGCTACTTAAACACAAAATAGAAATTGGAATAAGGTGCACATTTTACCTGAAAGATACTGAACATGTAGTGTTCAGAAACTACACCTAGAACTTAAGTTCGTAACTATGTGGAATAAAGACAGAACATTTAATTGAATTCCTTGAAAACACTGATGGCAGAGACACGGCAAGGACAGCTGCCTACTTGGCTGGATACTACTCCATCGTAAAAGAGGTAGTAAACGATGCAGAAATAAACCCGGAAGAATTGGCTTAGGATGAAGCTGATTTTACATTATCTGGACTTTCACTGTTCTGACAGAACCAATGTTAAACTATGGAGTTCAAACAATTTTTTACTACCACTATCATTAATAATACATAATACTAATATTAATAATTAAAATACTAATAATTTTACTGAATACTAGATCAGTAGCAGAATACTTCTAAAATTTGATATTTAAAAAAAATAATCTAGTTCGATACATCTCCGTATCAAATTTGGGGCTTTTTTTAATGAAATGAAATGAAGACAGGTACTTTTTATTTAAAAACTATGAAGCAATACTGTCGTATGCTTTAGGAACAAGAGCTATCCATTGATTCAGTTTATCATTATTTGGAATTTTTTCTTTCTGCCCATTATATAATATCTAGATGATAAAGTATGGCTTTGTTAAATGTCTTCTGTGCAGCGTTGTGTACATCCCAAGAGCTGATAAAGGAGTTATGCCTTTGGGAGACATGCAAGCTTCTGTCTTGCTGTGTTGGGAAGAGGAGCAGTCATTTGTTAGTTGGCTATCAACAGCAAAAGTTGTAACTCTTGTGCTGATTCAAGTGTACTAAGTTTTCACCTCAGTTTAGAGGTGTAACTAAAAACTCCACTACATCCTCCCTGTGACAGTTGTGGTGAAGAGTTGCTTTACAGAACATAGTCAGTGCTGTGAATACAGATCCAAGGTCTGGATAGTCTGCGCAGAGTCTTATAGACAGATTTTTGTATCCCGTGCCTTCCATCCCTTTCCAGCATGTGTAGGAGCACAAGTCAGGTAAACATAAACCTGCAAGGCTGCTGTTAGCAAACCAGCATTATGAAGCTTTGATGTATCTTCTGTACTCAGAGCTGGGTATTCTTGATCTTAACTTCACACCAGAGTTCAGAGGGGAAAATTCATGGTCTGTCCTCATACTGGATATTTTATTCATCTTCTGTAGCTACATGTCATACTGGAAATATGAGACTGCATGTCTTACATGCATATTTAAAAAGAAAAATTATCATAATGAATGAGAAATAGTATTTTCTCAGATTTTATTTTGAATGACTTGCATGTATTTATGGAAATTCTAATGTGTATCTTATGCTAAAAGTTATAGAAGTAAATTCTATTGAATTTCAGGAATGCAAGAAAAGATTATATTACTGCCAAGTATATTGAGAGAAAATATGCAAGGAAAAAGCATGCTGACAATGCAGCTAAATTGCATGCTCTTTGTGAAGCAGTCAAATCAAGAGACATTCTTGGATTAGTCCAAGTGTATGCTGATGGTGTGGATCTCACAGAAAAAATTCCACTGGCTAATGGCCATGTAAGTGTTGTAAATTTTATTAGACAAATTGTTGTAAGTGCAATACGCTTTCATTAATTGAAAAGGACTATTTTTTCTTACTTGAAAATAAGATTTGAAACACTGTTCTGCATACTCGTCCTTTTAGTGATGTAATTTAACACTAAAAAAAGAAGATATTAAATAATTTAATCTAAAATTGCTTCCAAAAGCTATCGTATTTTAAATGTATTAAAACATGAAACATTAAATCATTCAGTAATCTATTAGTTTTCAACCTGTTGGTTTGTTTACTTTAAAGGAACGAAAGGGAAACAATGAAAGTCTTCACGAGATGTTTTAATGGTAGCATGTCTGAATATTTTGAAATTAAATGTTTTAATTGATCTAATTTATGTCTTACTCAAATTTCTGCATCTCTCTAGATCAGAAGAAACAAATGTATTCTTTTGTTTTATTCTTAGGAGCAAGATGAAACAGCACTTCACCTTGCTGTTAGGTCAGTTGATCGAACATCCCTTCATATAGTTGACTTTTTAGTGCAGAACAGGTAAGTGTATGGAAAACTAGTAAAATATTATTGCTACTGCTTTTATATCAAGTAATACAAGTACTAAATGAGTACAAATACTGAAACCAATTCTAGTATTTGCAAATGTAATTTTATTCGTTGGAAATCTTGTAATGAGAGAGGTTTATTAATATAGGGTAGGAAACTAAGTTTCATCAGATTTCTTCTTCTTTCTTGTACTCCAATAGTGGCAATCTAGATAAGCAGACGTGTAAAGGTAGCACAGCCCTGCATTACTGCTGTCTGACGGACAACGTTGAGTGCCTCAAACTGCTACTGAGAGGGAAGGCTTCCATTGAAATAGGTAAGAGTAACGTGTACTTCAAGTTCGTATTTGTCACTACTTCAGATAAGAAACAGTGAAGGTCGAATAAGTGCATTTTCTCCTCAATTGTTTATCATAATTCTGTGAATATAGCCTTCATTATAAAAAAAACCAAAACAATATTCACTGTTTCTTTCAAGTTTACAGTTGACTTATACATCAGACTTGTTTTTTAAACAAATTTAGATAAGTAAGTACCAATATTTTTAACTGATATTTTGTTGCCTAGTTATATACTGCCATTTCATGGCTGTTACTCTGTATATATGGCATACTGAGTTGCTGTTGTTCAGAGGGTTGGTTTGAGTTGGACCTACATATGAAGGAAAGAGTTGAATTTTAGAGTGTGATGGTCTAGTACTTCACTATGTACCTGCAGGTTTGTCATTATCTTTAGTAATGGACATGCTAATAGTGACACCTAGCATCATAACTTTCTTTTCTTGCTGTAATATAGCTAATGAATCAGGAGAGACGCCACTTGATATAGCTAAACGTTTAAAACATACTCACTGTGAAGAGTTGGTAAGTGTTGCATCTTTCTGTGTGTTTGTGCATTTGTAAGCACAATTATGTCTGATTAATATTCAACAAATATATTCCAGATGGAATAGTTGTATGCTTAGAAATAGTTACATGCTTTTAAGAAGAAAATGATACTTCTTTTTAGATGCTTTGGAAATGCTAAACTTTTTGGGGCCAGGGAATGGTTCTGTTTGAGCTATTCGTCCCAAATCCACAAGTAAGATCCCCTTAGTAAGTTTCCAAACGACACCAAGTTGGGAAGGAGGGTTGATCTGCTGGAGGGTAGAAAGGCTCTACAGAGGGACCTGGACAGACTGGATCGGTGGGCCAAGGCCAAGTGTGCCCAGTCCTGCACTTGGGTCACAACAACCCAATGCAATGCTACAGATTTGGGGAAGAGTGGCGGGAAAGCTGCCCACCAGAAAAGGACCTGGAGGTATCGGTCGACAGCCGGCTGGATATGAGCCAGCAGTGTGCCCAGGTGGCCAAGAAGGCCAACAGCATCCTGGCTTGTATCAGAAGTAGAGTGGCCAGCAGGACTAGGGCAGTGATCGTCCCCCTGTACTCAGCACTGGTCAGGCCACACCTCGAGTCCTGTGTTCACTTCTGTGCCCCTCACGAGAAGAAAGACCTTGAGGTACTGGAGCGTGTCCAGAGAAGGGCAATGAAGGTGGTGAAGGGTCTGGAGCACAAGTCTGATGGGGAGTGGCTGAGGGAGCTGGAGTTGTTTAGCCTGGAGAAAAGGAGGCTGAGGGGAGACCTGATCGCTCCCTACAACGACCTCAAAGGAGGTTGTAGTGAGGTGGGGGTCTGAAATCGAGTTACGCCAGGGGAGATTTAGGTTGGCTATTAGGAAGAATTTCTTCACCAAAAGGGTTGTCAAGCATTGGAAGAGGCTGCCCAGGGAAGTGGGGAAGTCATCATCCCTGAAGGCATTTAACAGACGTGTAGGTGTGGTGCTTAGAGACATGGTTTAGTGGCGGACTTGGCAGTGCTAGGTCAACGGTTGGACTCGATTTTAAAGATCCTTCCCAAACTAAATGTTTTTATGATTCCAAATGTCTGACATCTCACTGAAATCTAATCACATACTTTTTATGAGTGGAGGCCATGGATGAAGGCCATTTTCTTGTCACCCAGAGAAGCTGTAGATGCCCGGTCATGGGAAGTGCTCACTGTCAGGTTGGGTGGGACTTTGAGCAACCTGTTGTAGCGGAAGATATCCCCACCTATGGCAAGGGAAGTGGGCTAGATGATCTTTAAAGTTCCGATCAAACCCTGACCACGCTGTGATTCTATGAAGAGAAGCTGGCTACCATCACTACTTTTACCAAGCAAGAAAAATGGATTAGTGGAGTCAAGACCTTTTTTTGATAAGCGAGTCTGATTCAAAAGAACAGCTATTGCAGTTAGTTTCTTTGACTTGCAGTTTCTAAATCAAAGCAAAGAGGATGTGGTGCTCATGGTCAGAATATGGAGAACGGATCTGCAACGATGAATGAAGAGCCTAGCTGCTTTTGATTTATTTGTGTTGTATTTGGTCACAGAGCTTATTTCTTTGAACTTACCCCAGTGCAGTAACTTTCCAGATTACTGAAATCTGTTTTTAAAATAAAAGTAATATTTGTACTTAAAAACCAAGATTCCTTCTACATGTGTTTTTAATTTGTTGTTAAATATGTTGTTTTAAAATAAGTACTGCACATAACATAGGTGTCAACAGTCATCTTTTTTTCCTTA